CATACTAGGGCGTTCAGTAATTGTGTTCACGTTTCTGTATGACTATTTTTGAATGAATGGCAACCCAGTAGTTGGCCAATAATGAATTATACTCGAAGTACTTGTTGACATTTTTTTTATATGCAGCTATATCAATGGAGGTGATTTTCACTTCAGATTATATTTGAAATCTATAACCTCAAGTGAAATTTGACATCAAAGCTAGGTGATGTCGGGACTTGGCCGTAGCTGGGATCGAACCTGTGAACCCGGGACTAGTTTAGACATAAATTACAGTTTTATTGAATGAATGTGAATATTTTTTTTTTACTATATTTGTTACAACTGCTAAATAATTAACATCTAGTATACATCTCGTATACATGCATATTGTCTGAAATAAATACCTCTAGTTCGCAATATGTGTAGACTTTCAAGATAATAAAATTGATTTTTATATAAGTGATCATTATGTAACTATTTAGATATTGTTTAAACAATGCGATAATTTCAGGATGATATTTAAAACTTAGTTCGGTGCTATTCTTGAAAAATTAATTATGGTTTTATTTTTTTAATTATATTTTTTCATTTAAATTAAATTTTTCTGCATTAATACCTCTAGTTTGCAATATTTGTAGACTTTCAACATAATAAAATTCATTTTTATATAAGTGATTTTTATGCAACTATTTAGATATTATTTAAACAATACGATAATTTCAGGATAATATTTAAAAAAAAAACTTCGTTTGGTACTGTTCCTGGAAAATTAATATTAGTTTTATTATTATTTTAATTATCTTTTTTAATTAAATTATTCAGCATTAATAATGAAATTTTGAGAATTTAATCATATTCTAATTTTTATCTCATTCTAATGGCAGGTTTAGTTTTTTCACAATACGTTCTAATATCTAATGGGTGTAACATTTTTAAAACATATTAAAGATTTTTCAAATTTAAGTTTAATTGAAGTTCAAATAATTTTAATTAAAAAATGTATAACCAAGAAAAAACGATCAACGAGTAACAAAAACAGATGCTTTCTGTTCCTGTGGCAGAAAGATTGAATTGAATTACATTTGTCATTAAATTTTAGTTCGAGTTTTAAAATCTGGAGCATTTCAATTATATAATTCTAGAAATTCATATTACATATGTTCCGAAATATCTGTTAGCAGTTTGTTATGATACCGTTATTCCATAAATTAACACGCCAGCGTGACTGACACTGTCGTAAAATACATCTAGAAACTGACAAAATACACACATTTGGATTATTTTACTAGGCAGAAAACGTGAGTTTCCTACAAGTTGCACGTAGTAAGTTCACGACGTATTGTATTTCATGCAAGTACCTTCGTTTGTTATTGTTGGTGGTCATTGCGAGGAAGGTACCTTCGGGCACTCTTGCAGAAGATGCATAGTTGTTTTTTTCGTAGAACTTTATTGTGTAGTAAGCAATGAGAAATGAAATACTATAAGCAAAAAAATTGGTCTTTGAGTTACTCCAAGTCCGCATACTCATTTGTTTATGTCAGTGAGTACCAGCATGCGGGTTAGGACAAAATTTGACATATTTTTTTTTATAAACATTAAAGTTTTTTCTTTGTTGACAACAAGTACATTAGCCTGCTACACTAACTATACAACTAAACATTTCTGACTATGACTTAACATTTACAATATCTACACAGGTGATTATAAAATTCCTAATAAAAGTATATTAAAGTTTAGAGGTTTAAATTAATAGTGATACACAAATATATTAAATTTTGATTGTTTTTAAATAATCATTATCGACATATATTATTGGCCTATAGATTCAATATAATTTGCATATTTCTCCTTTTTGTAAATCACGCATTGGATTTTTTTTGTTAAAGTTTAGTATTAAACATTTAGTTGTTTCAATTGAATTTCACACCTTAATTTCAAATTAAAATAAAAAACTAGGTTTAAGTGGCATTTTGCCTCAAAACAAGTTGCTTGAACAATATCCGACATATGGAAAATATCGAATCGAATTAATCAAATATCTTAATCCATATTGATATGGAGCGATTTTAAACAATGATTGCAAAATGTTAAAATGCTTATTCAATAGTATTATATAAATATATTAAAATTAATAAAAGTACAATTATTCATAAAATTTTATTATGTTGATTTTAATTATTTTTTTTGGCTGTTGAAGCGGTTATTCAGAATACAAAATATCTAAAAATAAAATCATTCTCAACGTTTATTAACTTGAAAATAGCAAAATATGAATTGCAAACTACTGATATCCATATCAGCAATATGCCTATGGTTGTAACAAAATTTATAAATGTAAATAAAATTTATGAATTTTAATATTTAGCATCAGAAATTAATATATACAATAAACCAACAACAAATGTCTCGAAATACTTAAATGCATTTTTAAGCCCCAAAGGCATTTTTTTTTAATATTTTGTTTTTAAATTGGCTGTTATTGGCTTTCTAAGAAAAAGAATAACAAAACCGAATACAAACAAATATTCAATTTTTTAAATGTTTATTACAATTTATATTTATAGATCTATACAACAAACTTCCTTGGAAACACCTGGTGTTTCTGCACATATTCTCATACAAGTCCATATATACAATTTTTCTTTATAAACATCTTGTAGCAAAAGATTTATTATTATTTCAATTAATTTTTCACTGATGAAGTAGGTACACATGTTACAATGATCTTACAATTACATAAAATGTAATTTGATGTTTCAAAAAAAGTAATTAAATGCACAGTCTTCAATTTTTTATATCCATATTAATTACAATTTTTTGAAAAATATTAATACGTGTATTTTTGTAATAATCTATTTCAAAAATATATTTTTAATAGAATTCATGCAAGTTTTACGCTTTTACTGATAACTGTTCTTTCTATAGAATTATGACTAATTTGCGATTATTTTATAATCATAATACGTATGCTCGAGTTTGTTTATTTATTTTATCTAATGGCAATATGTCATGAAGTAATATTGGTAAAATAAAATTGAGATTTGAAATACATATTTGTATTTTGTTTAGACTTCAATACTTTTACTGGTAACAATATATAATAATTTTGCAATATTTAGCTTATAAAACTATTTGAATATTATAAGATAAAATAATTTTATGATATTTATAATGTTGAAATACGTTTTTATAATTAATTATCTCTGCATCTCTTAGATTATTGAAAGGTCAACGACGATTATTAAAAATATATATTTTATTTGATACATTGAAACGCGACTTTGGCGAATATAATTATATTAACTATTATCATTTACAGAATATTCGGTTTAAAAACTGTTGCAAAATTTATTTAAAGAAATAAAAAAATCCTATCTAAATAAGAAAATTATTGCACAATCATATGAAAATTTAGGAAATTAAAAGATGTCACCTTTGAAATCTAATTTTTTTTTAATCGCTCTCATCCCTGATTAATGTTTCTCGTTGACGGCAAACCTTAAATTATAAATTAATATATAGTTTTTTTTATTAATATATACTACAAGATGTCTTATAAAGACAATGTGTGATAGGGGTGATAGTGTACAATGAATTATTATTATTTATGAATTATTACAATGAATTATTTTTATAGGACTACCCAGTAGTAGACCTTATACCAATGGAATTATATTTCTTTGGGACATGATTGGAATTTGATTAAAATATTGTTTTTTTTTCTAATTCTTGGAATTTTAATTATTAATATATACTGAGCCTATAATAATTATTAGAATAATGTTGTCAACGTCCATTTGAAGTAATTTGAAATGCCTAAAATATATAATGATTAGCCCAAAATTAATAATGATCGAATTATAAATAAAGAAATCATAATAAAATTTATAGTAATAGTAGATATAGTATTTGTTTAAAATGTTGGTGAAAAATTAATCATATTGAATTTTTTATTAATAATATCATACTAAGCCAAAATTTTGTCAAATTCTATTATTAACTTCGCAAAAAAATCGAAAATGAAAATTTTTGCATTTCTTCGCGTTTTGAAGGTTTCTGAACATTTAGGCATGCATAGAAAAAATGGATGTATGTGTGTGTTACAATTACAATACAATTTTTCGTCCACGATTTCGGGCGTACGAATCAACCGATTTGAATAATTTAAAAAATTCGATTCCTATTGATAAGGAGACATGCTGATTAGTTTTTGGCATAGGTAGGTCTAGCCGTTTCGAAGATACGGGACAAAAAGTGCCAAAAACGGTAAATCAGTTTTTAAGAGAACGGAGCGTCCGATTTTAATAATTCAAAAGAGATTTTACTTGTATTGACAAGATGAAGAGCTGATTAAATTCTTGAGAAGGCAGGTCTAGCGGTTATGGACTCTCAATAAAAATAAATTAAAAAAATGTCATTTAGCGGTTAAAAGTGTTTATTGAGATTTTAATAATGTGTACACATTTTGTGTAAATTTTTTTGGGTTCCGTACCAAGATTTTCATTTACGGTACGGGAAGTTCCAGCAAGTTGCCTTAAGGCACGATGCCATGTACTACTAGTTTAATTTTTAATTTACTAAGCTCATGATATCATATTTGCCCAAAAATATTAAGCAATTATTTGCCTAATAATATTAAATCGTACCAAGTCCATAATATTTTATATTTGTCAAAATTTTATTATTTTCCTATTGGTATTATTCGAAAACAAACGTTCAGATCATTCAAGAGTAGGTTTTAAGAACGTTCGGTCATTTTATCTCTGGTAGTTCATCATGCGTGCTGTACGCCGACGGGTCGACTGTTCGGTGCCGCTCGTTCTTCTCCGCTCTGACGAGACCGCAGCCGGTACGGGCATTTGAACCAAACCATTTCGTTGAAATTAACTACATTGCAAGGCTCCGCTTCTTATTTTATGTAATTTTTATCAAATTTAACTTAAATAAAATTTAAATTTTAATGATATTAATTTATCATGAACTTTATGACACGTGCAAACAGTGTTTGTTAAGTAATTAGTTAAGACTTGTTTATTAAGTGGTACAAAGTGCATTGTTTATCCTATCCTGGATAGTTGGAATTGTCTGGAGTGATTCTTATTAGAAGTGATTATAATAAGTGAATTTTAACTGGTTTATGAATTGATGATAACTGTGGTTTTGTGTGACTTTTTATGTTGTGATGTACCGGATTTACCAATATGAAGACTTCTATAGATACCGTTCAGAATGGTGTCGTACTGATAAAATGTAAGTTAATTTTATTTAATTTAATAGTGTGTTTTTAATCTAACGAGTTCTGTGTGCATCTGGCTGAAACATTTTCGTTATTGAGTAGTCTGTAATTAGGATTCGTTTGTGTTGATTCACATCAGTGCTTTCAAACATTTTTTATATTGGTTGTGTATATTGGTTATGTGACCTCTACGTACACTTCTTTATATAACGTTTATGTATATTTTAAGTTACATATATACATTTCTTTAACGTAAACATGATATATACTTTTGCTGTCATTTTATTTCAATATTAAGTGTGAGAAACACTCATACCCACTCAAATATGAAATATGTAAATATATGTATGTATGTATATGTATGTATCAGCATACATATATACATAATATCCGTATGTATAAAGGTATAAAGATCGGTCAAGCCGTTTCAGGGGAGTATTGTCACTAACTTCATGACACGAATACGTACATACATACATACATAAATTTATACATAATATAATTATGTACTTATGTATGTACGTATTCGTGTCATTATGTTAGTGACAATACTCCCCTGAAACGGCTTGACCGATCTTTATACATACATACATACATACATAATATATTTATGTATTTATGTATGTATGTATGTATTCGTGTCATGATGTTTGAGACAATACTCCTCTGAAACAGCTTGACCGATTTTTATAAAATTTTATAATCACGTTCAATATGGCTGAGAATCGAGCAATATCTATTTTACATGCTTCCAATCGTATGTATGTATGTATATGTATGTATCATGCATACATATACACATACATAATATATTTATTTATGTATATGTATGTATGTATCATACATACATACATATATACATAATATATTTATGTATGTATGCATTCGTGCCATGATGTTTGAGACAATACTCCTTTGAAACGGCTTGACCGATCTTTATGAAATTTTTAATCACGTTCAGCATGACTAAGAATCAGATACTACCTATTTTACGTGCCTCCAATCGTAAGTGGTAAGGGTTGTCCACGACTAGATTTTTTTTTAGATTTTCGACCATATTTCTATATTTTATTTTTTTAACTTGTAATTAAGACATATACAGCCCTAAATTTTTACCGTCCTATCAAAAACCCCTATTTCGTTAAAATGGATTTTAGTAATGGAGTAATTTTTTATCCTGCGAGCAATTGCAATGAATATTTTTGACTTAATTTTAGTTCAGATTTTCTTTTAAATTCATGAAAAGGCTCTAATTTTGCTTAAAAACAACTTATTATTCAGGGTAGTCCAAACCTAATACATTTATAAATATTTGGGGTTATTTTGGTTTTCAAATGCGGAATTAAAAAATACATACAACTATAATGTACTGTCCTACCACAAATCCCTATTTCATTATAGCCATTTTTAGTTTATTTTGATATGATAAAATTTTTTAGTCTAATTATTATGATATGATATGGTCAATCTAATACATAAAACCCTTGATTATCCAATGTGCCAATTCAATTTAAATGGAATTAGTTTTAAATTGGCACTTGCAATGACTTAATATGAAACATGTATTGTAGTAGGTAAACCATCTATTTAATTTGTGTTGGCCGCCTCTTTCACTTGTATACCACTCATTTCTACATTCACAATCAGTTTATTTTTATACTAAAAATTTTCTAGAAATATTTTTTAAGGCTAAACAATGTTTGCAAGGCCAGCCATTATATATATATATATATATATATATAATGTGCTTTCAAACATTTTTTTACTCATGTGTATACTTTTTTATGTAACGTATATGTATACTTTTTATATAACGTTAATGTATTTTAAGTTGCGTTACATTTCTTTAACATATACATGATATTTACTTTTTTCTGTTTTATTTTAATATTAAGTGTGAGAAATGCTCACTTAAATTATATAAATATATCGAGTATTTTTTATACTAAACTCACGTGATTTTCTAACCTAAAATGGTATAATTTTTGGTTCAAATTGTTAGTTGTTTTTTGAAATTACTTGTTTAGTGTGTATTTTCCTTGTTGAAAGATAATACACATTTTGTTCTCGAAATTTCAACTAAATTTATATTTTATTTAGACGCATTGGCTATTAAATAATTAATGTTTCAACGTCTAACAAGAAAATCTTTATATATTGTTTAAAAATAATTTAATTACTTCAAATTGCATTTGTATGAGGTCTTTATTATAATTCTATTTTTAAAAATTAGTGATGCTCCGACTTAAATACATATTACCACATTTTTATTATTATTTACATATATCGACGATTCTTCATATGTAATATCTGTAAATAATCATGCGTCACATAATTTCCCGAATTATTTGTAGTCCCCATGGTCTCAAAATTAATATTTGGCACCGTCAAACTTTTTCTTCCAAGATCAAGGTGAAATGAGATCAATTCGATATTTCATATAGAATAATACAATTATGTTATTTTATTCATATAGAATAATACAGTTATTATATTTTAGAATATTTTGCAATGCTAAAAACATAGTAGTTCTTGCTTGTACTGTTGCAGAAATTGTATTAAATCAGGATCGTTTTTTGAACATATAAAGAATGGGCTAGTTAAAATTTTAACCCAATTTGAAATATGTGAACAGACATTACTATTTTATTTCAGTCGATTAGAGTTTATTTTGATTCAAGGTGATATTTTCCAGATATTTTAAATATTTTTTTTTGTCAATCAAAATTGTATTAGTCTTAAGCAAAATTATTGAGAATACAAAATATAAAATTAGAACTAAATGCAGAAAATATTAACATGAAGCTAAAATAAAAACGTAAATCTAAATAATGAACATAATATTAAGTGAATAAAAAAAAAACAGATAATAATGTTTTTTCATATATTTTTTCAGAAACAAATTTCTTCAGTTTAAATGGCTCTTCTACTTTAAATAGCCTACTCTGTATTGTATTATTGCGTATTGCAATTTGTGATTGTTGTAATTTTTTGTTAGATGTTTAATTAAAATTTTCATATTTTTGTCTATACAACGTAATGTGATATTATGTTGTTTTGTTTAGTCAAAATTTGATGTTAATATTTATCTTTTATGCGATTGTTATTGACTTTTCTGTTCCTGTTGTATGTTTGCGAAGCTTTCGACCATGCCTTGCGTTTTCTCTGCACCTGAACGGCGTCTTACACCTGGCGCTGCGTGATCCCTACCCTAAGCCAATTATTTTAAAATATATACCTACTACAAAATTTACATCACGAAACATCACCAAATATTACCATTATTCACCAATTTTCAAGTATTTTTATTAAATTCAGGAATGTTATTAGATCATTTTACTTTTCATAGGATTTCCGGACACATACCTCTATTGTGAAACGAAATAAAATCCGTTCATTGTCCGATGCGCGCGAATAATAATGCGTACCACGTTGGATTTGTGATTGAAATGCTGATTATTTTATTTGTCTGCGGTTGTTCTCGTTGAGGTTATTATACTAACTAAGGCTATAAAAATTCCTGGTCAACTATTAATTTTGTTATATATAATAGAACAAAAAAGTATCTATTTGGACATCTATTTAATTACTAAAAAACTAACTAAAAGTTATGTTCAACATTTGTTTTAAGAAAAATGTGTTTATTTACAACAACGATCAGAACAACGTGTTTTATAAGCGGTTATTCTGACTTGCATCTTAATCTAGATACATGGTTCTGAAAAAGGCAACCCAGTGGTTCACCGCTCTAATTACCGTGTTAATTACATATATTAGATATTTAGATATGTATATTTAATAATTTGGCGTATTTTTAATTAATATCGTAGGCCCTTTGAGTGTATCTTCGACCTACTTTCATAAAGTACAAATTTTCAAATAATTAAAAAAAAACTTAATAACCATATATAGTTAACAAGTAACGTGTATACCAACAAATATTCGAAGAAAATATTTATAGGAAAAAATAGCAATAATCTGGAGTTGCCACTACAACTATCTATCTATAATTTTAACTTACAATCTTGTTAGTTTTATCTTTTAATAATTGGATGGATTTGTGATTAATTCTTCTTGTTATATTATTATTTATCTTTCATCATCAAAAACATATTAAAATAATTAAAATCCGGAAATATAAAATAGTTTTATTTTTTTATTAAATATTTATGGCGATAATAATAATAGCAGGCATGATACTGGTCATTTACCTGTCCATCATAATTAAGTTGTGTGTTTTTTTTAATATCTGCACCTATTTCTGTATAGAACATCAGCAAATTTTTGTTTGTACTTAGAATGTCTCTAGATATATGACCTTTGGATATAAAAATTGTGGTAATTATTCTATTTTTTACCCACTTAAAATAACTATTTTTAAACTAAAGTAATAAGATTAAGATTTAAAATAATGTTTTTCATTGAAAAGGTTTATTACAGTTTATTATTAAAATATGAGTTTATTACTCATGGGAATTATACAATGTTTATAAATATTTTTATACATTTTATCTTAATAATCTGTATATAAATTATGTGAGAAAAAAAGGAAAAGTTTAATTTTCACATTTGGAAAAACTATTATCTATATTTAATATGCTACTTTTCCATTTTTTAGAATAATTTTATTTCGAATCAGAGTTCTATGAACTGTTATGATGACACTTTTTTAAATATAGTAGAATCTCACTAATCTGACACTCCGATAGATCGACTAATTTGACTCGACCACTAATCCGACACTCTCCCGTAACAATACGCATTTTTTTGGAAATCTTTGAATTTTTTTTCGCTAATTCCAATATAATATATTAAAAATTAATATTCTTTTTCATTATCGTACCCTCTGGTTTTAGTTTCAGATTAGTCAGGTACTGCATTTACATTTTTGAAAGTTGCCAAAGGATGGTCTATCTATGTTTGATATATTTTTATTATTAGAATATCTATTATACTGATGACTTTTTAATTTGACGCATCAATTAAAATATTTCGTTTAATTCTGGTCTAACAT